TTTCTTTCCTCGGCTACCGTATCTGTTTTTCTCAGTCGAAACTTAATTGATCGCCAATCAACGGTACGATCCAAGCGTGATCAATTGATTTAGCGATCGATGTCGCTTTCGCTGGACTGCTTCCCTTTTAACTTTCCGTCCAGGAACGAACCATTTCACAGCAGTGTATTTCATATCGAGTGATCGCAATCTTGCTAAAGATTATTCCTAATATTTTAACCATCATTCGAAATTTTACGTAAATGTCTAGAAATCTAGCAACACGGAAGATGAGAAAATAATTCAAAATCACTCGCGTGCGAGTGGAAGGTAATCGCAGACGAACAACACGGGGCCCGTGAGTTTCCGGGCACGCCAGTGAGAAGTCTCTCCATTCATGTTCTTCATTCACCCTCGAAATTACAAACGCGACCGATAGGTAGGGTGAGAATGAAAGGCGACTACCAGAAGGGAAAACAGAAGAAGAAGAAGAAAGAGCGTCGAAGCGGCAAGGTGAAAAAGAAACGAGCGCAGCATCATCTTATTTTCTTTATCTCCGTTGAATCGATTCGAAGACGAGGATACCCATTGTTCGTCTTCGAGGCAAATTGCACGACGATGCGTGAATGCAAAACGCTTCTGCGGGCGACGTCGCGTTAAACAGATTTCCTTTTTTCTCGTTCGCCGAAAATCAGCTGAATGGGCGATTGTTGAATGAAAAATAAAATAATGAAATACGAAGGTGAACGCGAGCAGGATGAACGAAAATTACCGGCGGCATAGGCATTGAAATTGTCGACGAAAGCCGTTCACGTTTGAGAGATTGACGAAACGCGTCAATGATTCTTCCTCGAATCAATGGGAACCGTAGTCAGATTCCGTTCAGTTTCTTCTGAATTTTTTTTTTTTTTCGATACCTTCTCACGGATTCAATCGAAATTCGGTTAATTGATAAAAAGAATCGAGGTCCTTGCACCAAGAAGAATCGCCAAGAGGTGCAAGTTTCGGAGCTGCGATTTTCATTGAAGGATGATGATAAGATGCAGAACTGGTAACTCGCGATTCCAAAGTCATCGAGGAGAAACACTATCCTCAATGGTTCTTCCTCAAATCAATGGGAACCGTAGTCAGATTCCTTTTTCCGTTCAGTTTCTTCTGAATTTTTTTTTTCGATACCTTCTCACGGATTTAATTGAAATTTGGTTAATTGATAAAAAGGTGGCTAACAGAATCGAGGTCCTTGAACCAAGAAGAATCGCCAAGAAGTGCAAGTTTCGAAACTGCGATTTTCATTGAAGAATGATGATAAGAGGCAGAGCTGGTAACTCGCGATCCCAAATTCATCTGTGAGAAACACTATCCTCAGAACTATCCCCAATGATTCAGTTTCTACTGAATTTTTTTGATAACTTCTCACGGATTCAATTGAAATTCGGTTAATTGATAAAAAGGTGGCTAAGAGAATCGAGATCCTTGCACCAAGAAAAATCCCAAAGAATTGCAAGTTTCGGATCTGCATTCGTGAAAATGGAGCTGCGATTTTCATCGAAGGATAATGATAAGAGGCAGAGCTGGTAACTCGCGATCCCAAAGTCATCGAGGAGAAACACTATCCTCGGGACAGGATAGCCGGTGTGTATAAGAAGAAATCGCTGATGGTAAGCGATACGCGAGGCAACAAGAGTTTCCTGGCCGTTCTCGTATGCATAAGACTTCTCTCCTCCTCCGTGGAACGGTTATGCAGGTTTTTACCGGTGTTCACCGACAGATATGTGTCATACACGCGGCTACACACGTGTGCGTCGACATTCGTGTCGAACAAGAATATCGAGACGACGCAATATCGACTTACGTTACACGACCAAACGTGCATCTATCTCGGTGGGAAACGAAGCCCCACGGCTTCGTCTGTTCCACCTTGTTCTTAACGTTCGCTCCTCTTTCGGACTCTGGACTCTCCCCTTCGTCGTTTCCGTCCATTACCTTGATTCCTGCATCGTATAACATCGACGAATCGACGAATTTCATTTTCTACCGTAAATAAGGATGAATGAAATGAGATAAGTCTCGGTGTCCTCGGTTCCAAGGATGTTCTTGAAGAAACTAACGTGATACTCGATGCAGCTAAGCGCATCGATGCAAGTGGAGGATGAAGTCGATCGAGTAGATGGTAGAACGCTCGGTTAGGTGGGAGAAAAACGGAGAAACAACGAAACGACGGCGGTCAATGGACGGTTCGTTAAGTAGATGGCTGGTCGGGGGACTAAGCACCAAAACCACCTCACTGTGGTTTCACACCCGCAGAGCGAATGAGGGAGATCCAGGGTGGGAGAGAGACACCAGCAGAAGGAAGTAGTATACAACTCGGCCAGTTCCTTTGGTCAGGACTCGCGCGTTCCTTCGGTCAGGATCAATGACGAGGTTACGCATCTCTGATTCTTGAAAGAATCCTTTTGATGGACCACCAGCTACATGCTTGATCTATAATATCGTTAATAGGATCGTTATTAATCCTTGAACACCAGAATCTGGGACCCGAACTTACGAAACAAACGAGAATGTTAAAATTGGGGGCCTCTCTCCATGGTCCGCCGTCCGAAAATCTCCAAATGCAAACGGATTGCGTTCGTTCAAAATTTAACGTTTTATTTATGGATCTGGGAGACAAATGTGACCTGTTTAACACTGGAACTACCAGATTCTTATTTTAAATTATAAATTTTGTCGAGGTACTTTTGTTGAAATGTATATATTAAATTTTGTTTCATCTTTTATCTATTTAATAATAACTGTGCATCAAATGTCGGTAGTTCTAGTGTTAATTAGAAAAACGGTTAACGAATGAATGGTAATAGAGTATAAAGAAAAATAATGTAAAGAGAATGATCGAAAGGAGAAAAGATTGCGAAGGAATTTCCTGTCGCTTTCACCGTGAAACAAACTGGCTCTCTCCAACTTCTGTGGTTCATAGAACCAGCATCCTCCTCGTCTTCCCTGAAGAGCCTCGAAACGGACTATTATCCAACAGATGGTCGTCCGAACAGCGACCCATGGTGTCTGCCTTTGTTTTGTTACCGTTATTCCGGTAATTGCGGCAAATACACGGCCATTTTCGGTAATCACCCGCACGCCCCCATCCCCTAGGCGGTCCCCTTTGAGAATCCCGAAACGACCTCGACCTTCCACGGCCGGTAGGCGTAACGACAGTTTTGCCAGAGGACCCTACACCCTTCGACCTCGACCTTATCTCGCGAGGCTGTTCCTCGAGGCGAAAAGTAACTCGTCCAGCAAATTGTTTCTAACAATTACCTTCGAGAAGAATTTTTATTTACTTAATAATTATGATTCTAAGGACGTTTTTAACCAAAGGATCTGATATAAAATTCAATTATAGTTACTTTTACTGTTCCATCAATCATGAAAATACGAAGTTTCCTGTTCGTCGTCTGCGAACGACGCGTACGAACGTAACAGGTTAAATAATTTGACTCGGAAGACTCTTGTGCAGGCTTGCCTGTCCGTAAGTTTACGAGGGAATTAGCAACCGTTAATTACAAAACCGCCGACTATTTTCTTGCGCGGAACAGCTCCTCGCAAGGCGACCCGAGATTACGAACCGTGCAGTCGCGAGTCAATGGCGAAACACGAGATTTATCGGCCATTCAAATCGACGGTTTTCTAATCAATTCTCCCTAAGATTTCCTTGACCCATCTGTTCCCGAACCTCGATCTTAAATATCACGACGAATCTTTCGATCCAACAGGGAAAAATTGTGAAATGATTCCCCTTTGTTATTCGATGACGTCCGTGGATGTTTCCGAAGATGAGAAACTGGCGAAACCCAGATCATTTTTTCCTCTGAATAACTGATGAGATCTGAGCTTAAAATAACTACAATTATAAGGTAAAATTATATCGCTGATTCACGATTTTGAGACATCTGATGTCACGCTTGTTGATTCTATGGATACTTTCCTGATGGCCAGGTTACAGAGTAGCTGATTTCTATGGTTTTTTAAATAAGTAGTCACGTTTCGTTGGTGCACACTTGCCCACGGCGAAAAGGTGTTCCTGGAACTCGCTCTTGAATAAGCGTGTTTTGTCATCCGCTCGACGGGTACCCGCGGAGAATCACCAATGCCCGGACTTTCCGTCGACTCTTACCGCTAATAAATGAGTCTAGTCATCGCGTATGCGACACAGCTTTGTAACGGCGAGTTCCTTCCACTCTGTCCAGTTCGAAGAAATTAGAAATTACTCGATTATTAGCAGCGATTATAGTTCGATGAAATGTCGTTTTCAATTTTAATGCAAGAATAAAGGACGCTCGAACCGAGCGGATCGAAGGCCGTCGAGAACGGGAAGGAAACTCTAGTGTTACAGTTGTCGAATGAAAGCTGAAACGACTCATCGAGAAGGCAGAAGAAAAGAGAGGGAAAAAAAAAGAATGAGGTGAAATATTGTGTGTCAGTCCATGATGGATCTTTTCGTGAAACATTATTCTCACGGTATATCTGTCTCCAGCGTAATTTCGTAATCGTCGCATTCGGTGAATAGGCGAACGGGTAAAAAGTTTCACTGCCGAATCATCGATGACTCAGCCGAGCTACGTTTTCCTCTCTGTTTCCGTAACTTTTACCGGCCTCTCGTGTCCCTCCGTGCCCGGTGAGGTACTTGGAAATTCATTGGACGTCCGACGGAAGTCGCGAAGTCCGCGATAAATATTTCACGAGATGATAATTAATATCGGCTAATTGTTTCGACCCTCGTCCAGAGAGCGATACCGCTCGCTTTTGATGTTGATGCTGAACAACAATTTCAATTATAGTACGAATACCAGGAAAAATTAAAATCTTCCATTAATTAATATATTAATTAATAATTAATGGCGAAGAATTCTTAGGTGAATTCTAAATGTAGGAGTCGTCAGGAAAGCGTTAAAATCAATATCGTTTTTCCAGTTTCCCTCGTTATCTTCCCCTCTCCCCGTTACTGATAAGGTGCAATCGTGTTGTTGCAGATACGGGTGCAGGCGCAACCGAGTGGACCTATTCATCAGCGGCGCCATCTTATCCAGCGCCTCCGGTAAGCAGCGGTGGTTCCTTCTCGCCGATTCCCGGTGGAGCATTCTCGTATCTGAACGAATCCCTGTCTCATCATCCAGCCACCGAGCCTATGCCGTTACCTGCTGGTGAGTACTCGTTGAACGTTGACATTTCCTCGTAGCTCCCGTAACGCAGACATCATTCGATTCTTCCTCCTCTACGTGACTCACTGCAGAGTATACAGCTCGTTGATTACAATTAATAGAGGAAGAATAATTAATAATCGAATGATTTATCGATGAGCTGTTCATTCTCTCCAATACTCCAAAACCTAGCTTACTATTCAAGCATCAAAAGATCCACCATGCACAGTTCTAAATTAAGGTGTTAAAGTTCAATTTCGTTGATTATAATTAATAGAAGAAGAATAATTAATAATTGAACGATTTATCAATGAGCTGATCTCTGTCTCCAATATTCCAAAATCTAGTTCATTATTCAATCATCCAAGGTCCACCATGTTCAGCTTTGAATTAAGGTGCTAATGGTCAATTTCGTTGATTATAATTAATAGAAGAAGAATAATTAATAATCGAATGATTTATCAATGAGCCATACACTCTCTCCAATACTCCAAAACCTAGCTCATTATTCAATCATCCAAGATCCACCATGCACAGCTCTGAATTAAAGTGCTAATGGTCCATTTCGTTGATTATAATTAATAGAAGAAGAATAATTAATAATCGTATGATTTATCAATGTGCTGTTGATTCTCTCCAATACTCCAAAACCACCATGCATAGCTTCAAATTAAGGTGTTAGAGGTCCATTTCGTTGATTATAATTAATAAAAGAAGAATAATTAATAATCGAATGGTTTATCAATGAGCTATACACTCTCTCCAATTCTCCAAAACCTAGCTCATTATGCAAGCATCCAAGATCCACCATGCACAGCTCCAAATTAAGATGTCAAAGGTCCATTTTCATGAAATTTAAATCTCTGATCCAAGAGGACCCTCGCTAGCACCCAAGGCTCCAGAAATCTGTATCCGCTCTTGTCCATGCACGTACTCCAGCGACAGGCCTCCAAATCACCTTCCAATCGCTTCGATCCACCATTGATCCACTGAACTGTGACTGGACACAAGGTCTATTTCGATCTTACAGTGCTTCCGTCAGACAGCCAGCAAGATACGTACACGCCAAACTGTGTTTCCATGTATCCAAGCCACGGGACATCGTCGTTGTCACTGCCGTTGGTACCCAGCAAACCGAGCGAGCCGGACATCTTCGCCAGTAGCGGGACCGGTAGCGGAAGTCTAGGTTACCACTACGGTTCCTGGACACCGGCCCCGGCAACGCCGGTTTCGGTCGCACCTCACAATTACAACACCAACTACCCGGGCTACTACAACAATCCCAGCCAGAATCACATCAGTCCGGCTGCCCATATGGTTCTCCATCAGTACAGCACAGTGAATCAAAATCAGATTCATCTGCACCTTCACGGTGATTTGAGCGACGGGGATATCGCGATAGCTGGTAGCAATATCTCTATCAGCAGCAACAGGTTAGAGATCGGGGTGCTCGGCGAGGAAAGCGAGCAGAGAAACGACGTTTGGAGACCTTATTGATACTCCGCTGGTGATAAAAAGTCTGAAGATGATTGGAGAATAACCGAGGATCAGTTTGGATGTGAAAAGTGAGCAAAGGAAGCGTGGAGGTCTCGGAATTGCTATTTTCTGTGGTTAGAACCTCTAGATTTACTGAGGATCTTTGAATGAAATTTAGGAATCAGGTTGGAAATTGACTAACAGTGGGAGAAATTTTGTCGTAAATGTGATATAAAACCGTCGAACGATTACTATACTCGGTCGAGTAGCCGGATACTTGTCAGGCGCAATCGGTAATGCTAGTATTCGATGAAAGTTCCGATCGATGGGGATCGTATTCGCTGAGATTTTTCGCGGTCAAGCGCCGAGTGTCCGATGTTTCGTGAAACAGCGAGGAGAACGATTGAAAACTGGAGCACAAACGAGGTGACAAACTCGTGAGAAAGTCTAAGGTGTTAGAAAGGAACTATTCCTTCCCGATTGTTGTTTGAAAAAAAGAAAAGTGTGGAATAAGAAGATCTGGGCGGAGCCAGTCGGTTGTGAACCGACAGCCCGATCGAACGTGTCTGTGAAGTGGGAAGATTAGTCATGTAACGTTGTAAATACAGATATTTTCCATGAAATAAAACCTTGGCTGAACAGGTTCCCGAATCCTACCGTTCACCAGACCCATCAACATACCTGTGATTCACCTGAACGCAATAAACGTCATTTTTTGCGAACGATCGCCTATCATTGATAACGAAAATATATCAAATTTTAACTCGAAACATGAGTTATAGATTCTAATTTCTATATAAAGGTAACGAATACAGTTGATTGGCCCTTTCCTTGAAAAATTAAGAAACATAATATAATGAGTCTTTTGATCCGCGAGCGGCGGACCATGGAGAGAGTCCGCCCCAAGACGGCGGACCATGGAGAGAGTCGCGATAACGACGATTAAATTAAATTTTGGATATTGTTAGATGATTTTTAGACCTGTTAATCTAAAAGTAGTTGATTTACGATTATTAGAATTTTATTAGAAGTCTTTGAATATCTATAGTACGGGAAGAAATATATTTGGGGGTGGTTCAAGTAGAAAAATCTTTATTTCAACATGGAAACAGACCGCAGAGGAACGGTTCGTCTCTGTCTCTCGACACGCAGAGGGATAATCCTTTTTACGAGCGTAGCGAGCTCTATTTAATATTTAAAGCACGCTGGAAATGACGAACGGATGGATAGTTGCGGTCTCCAGCGTCGGTTCAACGCTGTTTCTGCCTCCCTTTATTAGCGATCCACCCTGCTTCGTTCCACCTTTGCAATTTCTGTTATACCATTCGAAAAAACACTAACTCTTCAAATACCTCTTATTTTATTTTTTAAAAAATTCCAAATGAGTCTCCCTAAAGGGTTGAAGTTTATAAAAATTGAAAGCAGGGTTCAGATTTTTGCAAAAGAAACAGCCTCTTCCTATTTTTGTCATCTTTCGAAAACGACCAGCTTCTCTTACTTCCTTTTCGCTAATATTTACAGCCACGACGAATGGGACGTGAATAAAAGCATAGAATAAGCCGAGACCGTCGCTCGTAAGCTTTCCTCTTTACGAGGACGACTCGACCGCAGACAAGTCTCCCGCCCTTTTCTCTGCCCGTTAAAACGAACTAAAATGCGTTTTGCTCGTAGAAAATGGTCGACACCTTCGATACCCAAAGAAATTCATAGGTCTTCCAAAGAGACTCTAGCTAAATCCTAATTTTATTCGAATCTGAAATTTCAAATTCTGAAAAATAAAAATTTTCAGGAAGGAAATGAAAGAAATCTGCATACAATATTTTCAACTTTTTCATACAATTTTATTAACTTCGAATAGTTGATCATTTAACGATCGTACATTTGTTGCCTAACTATTTCCGACGTACGTTATACAGTTTTCAATTAAAAACACTATCCGAAGGTGTTCGATGAACTTCATCGGTAATTCAAGGAAAATGTTATTCTTTGTGTGTGTGTGTGTGTATTAAATGAATGGAAATGAAAACAGGGTTCACATTAGGCACGTTTTATTATCAATTATTGATCTCTCCATACTTTCGTTAAACGATCTGAACAACACCGATGGAATCGCAGGAGAGAACGAGAAATTTTTCTGGATCAATTCGTACAACACTCGGTAATCATTTTCTTTCTCTTCTCTAACTTACAAACAATATACAAAATATATATATATTGTCGATATATATATTAAAGCGGTAAATGAAACTGAGAATCATTGACTAGTCGTTTGCTAAACATTTGAAACATAGAAATTAACAATAAAAATATCTAGCTTCTCTGGTGTCCAATGGACCAGCGACTAGAGTACTATTTACAATAAAATATAGCATCGATTCTTTAGTTTTATGTCAGTTCTTCGACCGCGAACGAATGTGCGATAGGACAAAGAACTTTGTCTCTTTTCTTTTTTTGGCAAAATCAGAAAGCTCTGTCGCTCGGAATTCGTTTCGTTCACACGAAGAATAACGTTTCGCTCAAAGCGCTTCTCTAACTAGATTCAATCTTCAATTCTTAACATTCTAATTACACCTTTCTTTTTTCTTTTATTAGTAATACTAACTCCTCGATCGTTTAAGATAATAGAGGACGTTCAAATCTAAAAATTATTTTTGCGATTATTCTCAAACAAATATGAATTATTCTAATAATTAAAGATTTGCAATTTCAATCATTCTGAAAATTATTTTTGCAATTATTTTCAAACAATTAAGAATTATTCAAAAATTTAAATATTTGCAATTTCAATTATTCTAAAAATTAAAGAGTTGCAATTTCAATTATTCCAAAAATTAATTTTGCAACTATTCTCAAACAATTAGGAATTACTCTAAAAATTTGCAATTTTAATTATTTCAAAAATTATTTTTGCAACCCTTCTCAAACAATTAAGAATTATTCTAAAAATTAAAGATTTGCAATTTTAATTATTCTAAAACTCGAAGCTTTGAAAAAGAAAATATTTTTACAACCCTCCTTGAGTCCTCAAATAATGAAAAATTATTCTAAAAATCAAAGGGTAGAAAAGAAATATTTTCGCAACCCTTCTCTAGTTTCATGTTTAAAAAAAAAAATTGTTATTCCCTTGGCGAAATCTATCAAACTCGCAACGCGTGTTTCTTCGACGATGGAAGCGAAAGCCCGTCACATCCGAGGCTGGGACTGGACCGCAAACTACAGTTAAGCGCAAAGAGCATAAAATGAGAATCGAGAAATGTGCGTGCAGCGTGGATCGTAAATAAAATCCTTGTCTCTTCGTGTCGACGCGTCTGCTAAAGGTAGGCGAGGCTTGTTCCCTGAAAACGGGACACGGTTTCTTTCGCTGCCAACAAGAATGAAACTATTGTCACTCGTATTCGTCTGAAAAATCCTCATCTCCGATTAAAATTCATTTCATAATGACGTTCCTTCTCCTTTGTTTAAAATTCATAACAATAATGGTTACTTGAAATGGTCCTTAAACGTCATGACCGTTGTTGTTCAATTAAATTCTTCTGTAATAAAGATTTCCTCCGTTCTTAATTAAAATCATTCGATAGATCTTCAAATTCCCTTCTTTAGATTGACTCTGATCAGTCTAGTTTCTTTGGTAAAGTATCGACTGAAATCAATGATTTTTCCACATATAAAATCTTCTCCAATCACGAAGACAGAAATTTTATAGATACACAACAGTCGTCGAATAAATCGTCGCAATCGTTAAGATTCTCAGGGAGCTAAGAAAGTTTCGAATCAGCTGTGGTAATACATCTGTTTCCAGATGTATTGAAGCTGATCCTAATTGCTCGTTAAACCGTATAACACGGCAATTCGGTGAAAAAGGGCCGACAATCGTTGTTTCAGAATCTGGTCCACCGCGTGTCTCGTGAGGACACGTACGCCGCTTACGAAGACCGGAAGTAGAGGGGTCAGTTGATCGTCCTGTGAACATATTAATTCCAACTATCAAAAAAGAAAAATTACAAGTACTCAGCATCGAATTAAGAGGAGGTCTGATAGGGCCCTGGGCCCACTGCACAGGATTAAAAATTTGATTTATTTTTAATTTTCTTACCGGTAAAGCGAGAGTCCAATCCAACATAGTGCTCAGTGTCTCCGCCCAAGCCTTCCTGTGCGCCTCGCTGTCCTTATAAACATTCGTCCTCCTCTGAAACGCGAGCTCGTGAGCAGGCAATTCTTCAGTCTCAACCCCAGACACCTCCCCTTCGTCCCTCAAGAACGGATTCGTTCTGAATCCCCTTTTACTACGCTCGTAATCGCGCAACAATTCATCGATATTATCGATAACCTTCGAGGAGCTCATCTCCTGTTTCTTTTCAATTTTCGATGATATTCTAGGAGACATCTCGAGATCGTTCGAGGAACTGGACACGGTGGATCCTCCGGTCTTCCTCAGCTCGATCACCGATCTACACCTGAAGGTATCCAAATTGAACCTGGCGAATCTATCAGGATCGTCGAATTCGTTCTGCTCGACGAATCTCGAGGCGCTTCTTCGAGAAAGGAGACAAGCGTCGCTTCTTCTTCTCTGCAATCTCAGCCTCTGGTACCTGGACACTTCGTCGTAGATCAGACAAGTGTTGGTAGCTTTGGTGTCCATCAGGGAAGTGCCAATAGAGTCAACAGACTCGGTTCTTCTTAAAGGACCCAGTTTGTAATACAAACAATCTCTGTTGTTTATTAATGTTGCTGGTGCAGGAGTCGTCAAACTGTACTTCCCATCGATGTACCCTTCGCTGGAGGTTCCTCCGGATCTATCAGGGTACACAATCTTCTCGGTGATGGATCCCAACCTGGAAGCTGGCCTGGAGTCGTCGGTTTCTGGTTCAGACTGGGGCCCAGAATCGGTAGAATACTCCACTGCCAGGTCGGACAGTCTGAAGGGTCTTGGGTCGTCCTCGCACTCGGGACCAAGTTCCTCCAGTCCACTCTCGTCGTCCAAATTCGGGCTGTAATGTTCTATGTCCTCCTGGTCATCCTGATCCACCTGGTTTTCGAGATTCTCAGTGGATGCTTCCACTGGAGGCGATGTCGTTAACACTCTATTGTTAATCACCTCCTTGCTGGTGATCTCTGGATAATCATCCGGCTGAGCTACCAATAGAAAGATCTTCCTCTCCGAGAAACTATCCACCCTAGTGTGTTTACCATCTTCGTCTAATACCACCTCCACGTAACTTTCGCAGAGTTCCTCGAACGTGTTCCTCAGTTGTCTAAGGTATTTCGTGAGTTTGCGAAGATTGGAGCCCTTCTCTTCGGGATTCGATGTTAGGACCGATTTCACGATTTCTAGGGTTGCTTTGGTACTCTCTATCTCCCGGAGACACAGCTCGAAGAGGGTTACCATTTTGATGGTCCATGCTGCCCCAGCCTGGCGATAGAGGTTGGCTGGCTGCTGGAGGTTCGTCACCTTTTGGACCAGGAATTTCAAGCCTGGTCGACAGTCGAACTTCAAGGCAGCTGCGTAGGAGAGGTCTAATCCCGAGAGGAAAATGTCCACGTGGCGAGGGGTCAAGTAAGAGAGGCAACCGGAAACGGACGCCTTGGGCGACGTCGATGCAGCTGAGTGAGGGATTATGTTGGATAAACTGGAATTCAAGTGATAATTTCGATGTTAACGAGGAGGATGATTGAATTTAGATGAATTATAATTACCTGGGAAATGATGAGTCAGGTCCCTGTAACAGGATACTGGCCAGGCAATGAAGGAGCATCTGGTGAACCAAAAGACCAACCACCAGTGCTCTCAGTTGTACTCTAACGATATAAAGATCAGGATTGAGGGTGGTAGCCACCGATGGTGGATACAGAAGGAAAACGTACGACCTGTCGTCGGGTCTTCTCGATGGATCCTCCGTACGCTGTTCCTCCAAGAGGAACACCTGAATAGACAATCATCCATTTTGAGATCATTCGGGTTTATGATCAAACTTTCATCGCACGATTCTTCGTAGATGCTCAAAAATTTGTCTATCGAACCGATGAATGCGTTCACTCTCGAAATTCGAGAAATTACTCGAGCAATCGTGCGCGACAATCGAAAGTTTCTTTCTTTTATTCGTTATTTATATTTGCAATGATATATGATGGATATGTGGTGATTAACGATCACGTGCGAGATCAATCGCACGATCATCGAACGATGGGTGGGTTCTATAGCTCGACCTATCCCGTGATTCCATTGATTCAGTCAGTCAGTAAACACGGTTGTGCATTCTACGAAAGCTGCAGCTTCTAGGAGAATAGGTGTCATGTATCTCATCCAGGTACATATTATGTGACGGTGAAATTCTAGCCATGGACTCAAGCCATGGATTTTAATGGTGATACGCAAGACCGTGCCAAGTTGAATTTAAATGATATCTCGGCCAACGACGGGGTCCTTTTGATTAATTCATCGTTTAGTTTTGTCCCTATCGAAGTTCCTAAATAACCACCTGTTTGTAAAATTAAAATTTAAAAAAAATCTCGCAGCGCCAATGTCCCATCGTTTCGAATAAGTAGAATTTTGGGGTAATATATACAATTGTTAATTCTTTTCCTAAAAAAGTAAGAAATATAATGAGTTTTTCAATCCTCGAACGGCGGACCATGGAGAGAGGCACAATTTTAATTCTAACAATTGCATTTCTAGAAGATGCATTATATTTTCTACTTTTTTAGGAAAGGGGTAAATAATTGCATAAGTTACTGTAATTTAATTTGAAAAATTAAGCGATCGTAGATATAAAATTTGAAATATTTCAATTGATTTGAACTCAAAAAAGGACCTCGTCAAGGAGGTTCTGCAGCCTGACCTGTGCCTTCTACCAGCGAGTGCAAACATCTAAACGAGGTGATTTAATTACAAATCGTTTCGTTTCACCGTCGACAGGCTTACTTCGACTCGCTTCCTTCGTTAACTTTCGTTCTATTAAACACTTCGACCGATCAAGGAATAACAAGGGGTGCAATACAAGAACGAACTTGCGAATGATAAAAGCATCTGTATTTGACACATTGTGCATCATCGAACACACATGGAGCAGTACAAAAATACATGTTTAAAAAAACGCGAACGTTGTTTGATAACGAATTCACGTATACAAATATTCGTATATCATTATCTAGCGCTCTGACAGTCCGTCTAATTGCAACGCTGCACAGTGGCATAGAATACTGGAACAAGAATCTTATAAAATATGTATCATTCTCAGAAAAATATCAATCTAGATTTATTTAAAATGATTCTACGCCACTTTATGCGATCAGCCATACCAGATGCAAGCTCGAACACGCGCAAAGCGCATTTTGATGCAAAGAAGAAGAAAAATATTGATATCATCTATCTATAATAATTAATCTACGATCACAATGTGAACGAATTTTCAATAGTAACGAGCTTCGAAAAGGCGATAAAAGCGATAATTTGTGGTGAATTGTAAAAAAACAAGCAGGCCTGTCGACAACGACCACGCGAGTCTCTCTGTTCTCTAATTGATTCTAATTAATCAATTTTCTTTTTTAATCATTTTTTTTCCATAATGCCGATGGAAGAAGAATCGATGCGATATATTCGTTCGTCTGTTTGCTCTTTTCCTATCCTTCTTTCTGCTATTTTTTTTTTTCTTTTTTTTTTTTGTTTGTCTTAAAATCCATGACGTGAGTTACCGTGGGCGGCTAGAGCCAATGGGGGCCCGTGTTCGACGTAGTGTTAGTGTAATCGAGGGGTGTCGTGTGCTGCCTACAACCAACGGAGTAGGAGGTAGTGTGCTGGTCGATCAGTGTCGTCTCAATGGTCATCGAATCCTGGAAAGGTGTCGTCGGCAGTGATGCCGCATTCTGCCTCTTGATGGCAGACAATACCTCGCGCAGCTGGCTCACCTGAGAGCAAGTCAGGTCAGGAGGGCACCACTTGTGTGTCTCTCTCGCGGGCAATTTTGGCGATATAACAAAATTACGGTGTTTCTTAACATGCCACTCGTGCCGTTTCGTCTGAATTCAGCACGCGGGAACAATGAAAAGAAAATTTTATTTAAACATGTGTTTGCTGGTAGGATACTTTAATCTTTTTCTAATTTTCAAAAAATACTTTCATGAATATCTAGTGATTAAATAAAGTACTCTAAATTTTATTATTTCTATAATTCAAATTCATTTGTATAGCATTTAAAAGTGACATATTAAGAAACACCCTGCATTCACGTTTAGTTTCATCCAGCGCCCGGTAGCAATCGTAATACAAACCGGATTAATTAATTAATCACTTCACTGTTAATTAATTAACAAAATCTTGCAATTAAAAACTTTATTCCACCTTCTCCAATTGTACCACGATCACGACCGAGCCCTGTGTACTCGGAACACTCTCACGCACATACAACATCATAGGAACCGTAACATCCAGCCGATCGATCAGGCGAGAAAATGATTAAAATAAATCACCGATCGTCGAACGCTCTCAGCTGATAAATTTGCGGGCGTGTGCGAGGGCACAGAGAAGCACAACGAACGTCAAACAGCCAAACGGTGAGACATATCTTCCTCCGGACAGAGAGATATAATCAGCGATAGTGAAGCGTAAACAGGTGAAACTTACCTGGGCGGCGAGTTGACGTAGTCTTTCGGTCTCTTCGGGGGTCGCGTCCCTTCGCGCGGCAACCTTCACCTGAGCAATGTCACCGTAAAACGATTCCGATCTCGGCGAGAAAGCCATGGTCAGTTGGTGTAACTCCTGCAGAGAATTCGAACAGGCACGGTAACAAGCGACACCGCACACCTCCCATTGTTCCGGGGTGAGAACAGGACCGCTGCTCACGAGAACGTGTCTGCAAACACGAAAACGCAATTATGTTTACCTATTCCCATTAATCGTGGACTGGGATTGAAATTTTTAAGAGAAAATTAATTATTCAACCCTCTTATAGCAGATTTTAATTAATCCTAGAATGGAGGAGCCTGAATCAAGGATATTAAAATCGGGTCTCTCTCCATGGTCCGTCATCCGAAAATTAACTAATTGCAGTTTTCCACGAACTCCCTTCTAAAATTAAACTACTCAGAGTCAAAAAGGGTTAAATATATGATTCTCCAAATATTTAAATTCAATCTATGTCCAATCATAGAGAAATTCAGCTCCGTTTCTTTAATAGAAGTGGGTTGCTACCAAAGAGTGGGTGACTCTAAGATTTCAGTTCAGGATCCCGTTCGTCATTCACTGGCAGTCTCTAGCTATCTGTCCGCGAACCTGTCCCGTTTTTAAACTCCGCGCACGCCTGTACATCGATACTTCGCGATCGACCCCGGCCAGGGATCGAATTACAAGCGTCAATGTATACGGTGCATTAATACGGAGAAAACGCGCGAACGGATCCAGCTGGGTGTCTAAGGTGGACGGAGCGAGATAGGAAGAAACGGCGGTGACAGGGTGCTGTTGTCGCGTGTATGTGCCTCTCCATCTTTTTCTCGTGTATACGTGTTTGCCGGGCACGACGCTCCGGGGGTGTCGAGTGTCGGTGGCTACCTTATCCCACCGGACAGCCTGTCAAGCTTCGTTATCATCTTACACGCACGCTACGCCCGTAACGAGGATACATCTAACCTCCGCCGATGTACATTCCATCGAACCTCCGCGTTATGATTCAACCTCTTCTCTATGTTTTCGATCGGGCCAGATTTTTAACCCTTTCGAATATTCGCCAGCAGATCCCGATAGCAAAGAAAAAGATCAACTACTCGATTTTATTTTAGATACACGTAGTAGATTCGATTAGCTCCGCAAAACAATGCATGCCTTTTTCGCGAGTCAGTGATCTTAATTGAATAATGAGTCATCTAGAGCAAGCGAAGCTTGAAAAGAAACGATTGCGAGTAGTCTCGGATCATTTGGGTGCCTAGATCCGGATCGTACTCACCTGATACAGGCGCAGCCCAAACGCGCTATGCTCTCCGTAGGCTGCACCACGCATTCCGCCATCACTAGTAATAGTTGCTTCAACATCAGTGTCGTGGCTGGTAGATAGGCCTCGTTTCGAACTACTTCCGGACCTGTACATAAAACGTCCATTTCAAACCTATTCAAAGTACCTAGAGATTCGATACAATTGATCGTTGAATCACCTTGGAGATGGGTCAGATAATCAACCACCAAATCGGTCGTAAGGCCGCAGCACTGTTTAAAGTTGGGCGCGAAGTTGTCCCAGCCCCTGAAGATCTTCGACGTCTTCCTCAGCCAGTTCTGAACCATAGGTAGCAGCAGATGATTGACGCAGTACAATCCAAACGCTGGTCCAGGGACGTTCAGGGTGTCCCTGAGCAAGTGGAACAGGGTCTCCAGAGTGTGAGGCTGATAACGTTTAGGACATATCATGGTAGCACTGGCCAGACCCTCTATTAGGATGTACCAGACCCTCAGGATACCACTGGGCTTGTCCATGCTCTGTAACGTGGTGACGGTATGAACATTGTCCATCAGAACGTCGTGGGGTCTCTCGGGTATGGTCTCCTGCATGGATTCCGCGTGCTTGTCGAATCGTATCAACTCCGAATTCGGTATCGTTGGGTCCACGTATTGGGGAATGGTGGAGACCTGGATCCTCTGGGCCGAGTGGAATATCGGACAGGCTGGCATCCCGTACATCGAGGCTAGGATATCGCTGCAGCTTAGCAGATACTTTAGACTCTCTACGCACAGTCTCATCCTCCTGGACTCGGCTACGTCTATCGGTTCCTGGTCATCCTGGTGACCATCGGCGTCCCCGATGCCCCGGACGTGCCTCAACAGACAGAGGATGCAATCTAGCGCCGCGTTGGCGAACACCAGCGTGTTGTCCATCGACAGGAAGACCCTAAAGACCTCCAGCAGCGGGGCGGATTCGACGGAATCTGAATTACCGACCGAAGCTACACGGAGAGCCCCAAAGAGGGGCCGCCAGCCTGAGCGGATCTCGGTGCCGTTCGTCTCGACGAACTCGCAGATGCAGCTGACGATCTGCGAACCATATTACATTTTAATACGGTAATTAAGATGTTAATGATGGTATTACCAGCTTACCTGGTCCTGTACATCGCTGTCGCATAATTCTAGGCACAGTAGGTTCTCGAAAGGCTTGAAGAGCGCCTCGTTGAAATGGAAATGTGGCAGTTCCATCAGTTCGTACAGCAATGTAGACATACTGTCGTGAATACATTGAACTGCTTTCTTAGAGATACCACGGTCCTTGTGGCAAGCAGCCTCCATGAAATGTGGCCCTAAGATGCTCCAGACCTGAAAATTAAAGATTGAATTGAGGGACCTGCTTTTTCGAAGTCGGTTAAAGAATACAATTATATTATTGATCAAATTAGGAATTAATTTTGAGATCGTTGTTCGTACTCTCATTACGTGGATCAAAGGTCGCCCACTCTTCACGCACTTCAGCATCACCTCTCCCAATCGGGCTAATAGCAATACATTCATCTCGTTCTCTCTGGGTTTGCTCCTTCTCCACCAGAATCTCTTGTTATCCTTCGAACCATCCGTGGTTTTGAACAATTGAGCCTTGCTAGCCTTGCAGAGGGCAGTGAGGAACAGACACAATGCTCGAAGATTCAGAGTGAGGGCTGCGTTTTCGAACAGTCTGTCCACTTGTTGAGATAACACGCAGACGATTTTAGCTGCATAGTCTGCGGGTAGGATGCCATTGAATTGGCTGTCTGCGTTGGATTCCTGGATTATTTCTGGAATCGTGTCCGAACTAGGGTTCTGTGTGTAACGACTGGATAAAAAGCTGTAGACGTCGACCCTGGAATAAAATGACTGATTAACTTCGTTGACCATCGTGGATTAATTTTGTTTAGTCAATTTTTTACCAAGTCTCTTCTTCATCAACGATATTGAAATTATGCTTCAGTCGATCTTGACTTCCTTTTGGATCACCATTCGAATCCTTATCCTTCTTCTCTTTCTTCTGCTGAGTTTTGGGCAAAGATGGGTTCTGATTCCTCCCGAAGAAATCGTGTTCCAGTTTGCTTACGTACAAGCAACATCTATAGAAACAAAGATATTTAATAATAGCACTGATTACTAATTAGAAGGTTAAAAGAAATCTTACGTGAAAACATGTGGCCAGCAATCACTGCCATGACTCCCAAGCTCTAAACCCTTTCCTAACAATACGTCCATGCTCAATGCATGCGAGGTGTGGATATTGGTAGCTCTGTTTTGAAGTTTCAAACGTAGAACATCCTTCGTCCTTGTGATTTTCGATATAGACTGCTCTGTGCAGGCAGCCTTTGCTAGGAGGGCAAAGATCGAGCCGCAACGACTTTGCAAACCTAGATAAACAGAAGATGCAATTAGAAAATAATTTAATCAAATGATACTAAATTTACTAACCAAGGATGTTGCTCAAAGCTGCAGCCTTGTGAAGACCTTCCAAAGAAAGTACAACAGTGTCCCTGATCCCTCTTCTGCCACCGTCTCTGCTAAGGATTCCTTTATTATTCTCTTCCTTTGGAGGATTCAACCCTATCGTCAGAACAGTCATCATGCTTCCCCAGCAACAAGTCAGCACCCTTCTAGAAAGCTTAGCACCAGCTTCAGCTTCCGGTGTAGGCTCTGTCCTGGATAATTGAGCTCTCTCCAGTCTTATATAATCAGACAGAAGCTGTCCTCCTCTGTGGCTACCAGGTATCTCATCGACGTCTTAAATAAAAATTAAGAACAATTCATTTCCTGCGATTATTAATTATTTTTGTTAGAATGTAGGTTAATTATCTACCAGTTAGCACGTTAATCAAGGCGCTGTTTTCTGTGTCGTGCGGATTGTAGCCACATTTCTCGAGCAAATTGGAGGCCAACACTTGTTGGTATAATTCGGACAGCCACGTTGCTGATAGATACACCAGGACACCTGATCCGTGAACTTCTTCTACGAATTGTTCCTTCGAAATTGAAAAATCAAGTTGATTAAATATTTCATGTGAAAATTGATTGGGAAAATTTTGAACATCGATACCTCGCTAATAGGAACTTGACGACTTTCTTCGTTATAATAATTGATCCTAATTAATTTTAAATTGAGGAGCAGAGCGGCGTAGGTGGCTAAATAGATCCCATCGGCATTCATGATCGTGATCAAGGCACACGAATCAGTACTGGTGTCCGTTTGCTCTTGGATCTTCTGCTGAGCTGCGAACACTCCTGAAAATAGAACAAATCAATCGTTTCTCTTCATTTTGCATATTGCATGTTTCTTTTACCTTGACAATATTCAGATGCAAAATTTTGCAAAGCATCATCAACCTCTATGTTACTTCTCAGACTCAGCACCATTGGAATTAGATCACTTTTAAGGGTTTTAACGAACTTCCTAGCGTTGTGCCTCTCCACGTCCACGTTACACTCGTCGGCCACTTGTCGACCCACGTGAAGGCATTTAGGCAATTTTTCTAATCTCAGTCTTTCCCTTTCATTCTCGATCGCATAATCATTGTCTTCTAAACTATTCTCCTCTTGAACCTCGTCCGATTCGTTTTGAGGACCTTCGGTGTCCGTGGAATCGCCGTCCTCCGATGGTCCGTGCCCCGAGGACTCGGAATCGGAGCCTATTCCCTTCTTCAGCAACTCCAATTGTTCTCTGGAATGAAATAAAATTCTTGCTACCCTGTAATTTTTCTTTAATGCAATTTAAATCTACCTGTACGTTTTCGGCAAACGTGCCATACTCTGATAGGTCAGGGGTCCTCTGTAATCGCAAGACTCCAAGTCTTCGTACAAACTATTAATCGTGCAGGTATAAGTGTGATTAATCGCCTTCCCTTCGCATAATTCCTGAAGAGCCGAGAGCATCGCGACCACGCAAGAAACGCTTGCGTGCAATATACTCAGACCACCGGCGGTTGATTCCTCGATGGAATCCATTGCTCTGCGAGAAAAATCTTCATTAAATTATGGCTGTATTTGAAAAAATTCTGAATTAGAAATATTGAGGAAATTACAGTCTCATCAATGCCATGTCGCTTTGAATATGACTGGATCTGTCTTCTTCTATTAACAATGGTCCAGCGAAGTCCACCATTCGACTTGGACTACGGAGGAGTTCTTTCAGAGCCTTCAGAGGCTCCAGACGTTGCTGGGGCGGAGGATAAAGCAACATTCTGTGGAATACCGATTCCAGAACTGGACGAAGGGAACCCACGCACCCAACCAATCGCACCAATTCCGTTCCAATGCTGGAAATATAAAAAAGACAAATGAACGCTACGATTTTGATGATTAACCCTTTCGCTGCCACGCGAATTTTTCAGCTTTCCCCAGTGGGCCAGAAATTTCATATTAAAAATTTTATAATGGCAAAGAACTGAGAAATATATTAAAATAACTGTACAATCTTGCCAATAGCACATTTTTCTTACAATTAGTGGCCCAAATGAAAAAAAAGTGCAGCGAAAGGGTTAAAGGTGTTCATACCTATAAACAGTCTTTGCCTGATGGCTGTCGAAACTCAGGGACGTGGCCAGGTACCCAGAGCCTCTTCCAAGTTCAGTCTCCTTTCCCTCTCTGGAGGTGAAGGTTTTGTCCACCCTCGGAGTGCCCAGGAAAGCGATCAATGCGGGGCAGAATTTTTGCCAGAGGAAAGTGGTGAAGTGTGCGTTCGTATGGATCTTCTGAGGTAGGGAAGAGATCAACGTGTGCAAACATTCGAGCAGGAACACCACCGTATTACCATTCCTTCCGTTACTGGAACACGATTTTCTAAAATGAAACGATATAAGCATCGATTGGAAATTCATCTTTCCTGCCTTACTTTTGAGCCTCGTCCAATTTGCTGCATATGTACTGGAGGATAGGGAGGGCCTCGTTGAAACAGGAGACACCTCTCTCCCAGAGGTTCTTATTCTTCTTCGCGTTTTCGTCCATCTCCTGGCACTCCTCGTCTGCAAATATCATCCTCGATTTACCCTTTCGCGAAAGTTTCGCGAGGCGCATTCCACCGTCACGCGAGCGGAACGTTATCGATCAAACTTTCTTTGGAGCGATAGATAAGAGTGAAGAGCAATTAGTGATGGGAAATTGTGCTCTATTCTTTCTCCCAGGGAAATTTCAATAAAAACCATTTCTACGATTTTTTCTCACATCAATTTTGTATCGAGGAATAAATTAAATTCAAAAGCTAAGCTGGGACGAAGGAAATTACCTAAGAATAAACAGAAAGATCGCAAGGTCTGACTGGTAGCTGCCTGGGCCGCGGTCCTCACTGCTTGATTTCCATTTTCGAAAGCCTCGCAGCAGGTAGTGAGAATGGCGATTATCAAACGACCGTTCATCGTCCAATAAGAGGAACAAGCGACTTGCAATAAAACCTGCGAGCAATGGACCATCGTCTTGAAACGTTTCCTTTTTTATATAAATAATTTCAAGTAGAATTTCCACTCACTTTAAGCATGTCCGTCTGGGTATCGTCCGATTGAGACAATATGGAACCCATAGCGTGCAACATTTGCGCGGGTAACCAAAGGGAATCGTCCTCTGGCTCGTAGGGCGATTGGAATCTATCGTCTCTTAACATTTTCTAAATATAACGCTTTCCATTAGATATCATAATTTGCAATCAATAAAATAAGAGTTTTACATAGAGATAGGGAATGCTTAAATTTTTATTCTTTTAATGTCACATTCCTACTTGGTATCGCGTTTTATCGCGAACGGATGTGACGTTCGCGATACCGATAGGAAAGTGTAAAAATTCCTTCCGACACTCACGTGTAATCCCGAGAGGCCGAAAGCGACGAATTTGCTCCTCTTCGTTTCTAGTGCTAGCTGAAAGGTGTGCAGGCATTTCGCTCGCAGCTCGTGGGGCGGATCGCGTAGCAACCCTTGCTGCTTTTCCAAAAAATCTGCGGCAAAATCGGTCCAAATTTAAGTTCGCTGAATATAATTTCATTTTATTACGTGGAAAATTGAAAGTGATAATTTAACGATGGATGAATCGACGCGTTGAGTATCAGCGTGGGATTAGAGGAACAAGTGTTGGTATTTTTTTAATTTGAACAGATTTCATTGTATTTGTAAACGGTGGGTGAAATTCACTTACCGTACGCTTCCTGCGCCGATTTTCGTAGATTTTGTAGCTTCGCATTGTTCGATTCACGGACGATCTGCAGCAGGAGATCCTCCATGTCACGGTGGACTAACACGCGACTGATCGATAGCGGGTGTGCCAATGCACGCTTGGCTGTACGCGCGCATCCAGGGCCGTACGAATTGTTTCTGACGAGGGAAATTCATTTCCCTCCTCTGAGAGAAAGCGGCTTTCCTCTGGAAAAGTAGCCGACCATATTTCCTATCAAATGACCGATTTCAAGACGTCAAAATTCAAACAGGATTTCATGACATAAAATTATCACAAATTAGCACTTATATTACATCAAATTAAAGCTTAAGGTCTGGAAAAATGAATACATAAACTTATTTTTAACGGGCTTGTTTCTATTGAAAGTTTTCTGAATAAAACAATCACTTTACCTGTAGTAACTTGATGTTAAAATGAAGGGACAGTTTTGGCGCAAATGTTTTTGAATTTATAATTTCAGAATATTATGTAGACCTTGTACTTGTGTTATAATTGCGGTTTATAGTTTCTTTGAGAGGTTAACGTCGAGTTTTGCAATTTTAGAGCGCTGTAAATTGCATAAAATGAATAAAAAGGTAGACGATTTTGAGACTATTTTGAAGTATTTTTGAATTGGCGCGAGTGTGGCGCGCTGGGTGGTCACGTGACGTATTTAATTCATCTTCAATGATGGCGACGGAAAGCGACAGGAACGCTAAAGGAGTAAAGAAACAACGCTATAAAAGCATGTATTTGTACCAGTTAGCTGTCAGTTTGATAGGTACAAGACTGCTCGCAAAAGAAGAACCAAGTGGTTTCCTGTTGGTCAACGTTATCATAAAGTCATCTCGTCTCCTGTAACAGGTGTGGCTGTCGGCGTTTTCCATCGTGGGCATGTATCTACACTATTCGAAAATGACCGTCATTTCTCGCATTTATCCGAAATCGAGAGGGAAATGTCATTTCGCACGGAAATGGTACGAGTTTTCTATATCAAAATGTTATACGGATGACTGAAATTTCCTCGAAGATAACAGGTATGTTTCGTTTGTTTTTCTATAGGGAATGTATTACTATTACTACAAAACGATCGCGGAATCGAAAACGTTCATGGACGGTCTGAGAAAAATCACACACGATAACATTTCGGAGTACGGAAATGTTATTGACGCGACTAAAAAGTATAGCTTGTTGCCAGAGGTATGCTACTCCAAACTGACCGGATTTTCTAGGTTAAGTTTATGTTATAATAAAATGGAATCAGACTTCGTTTGCCTGCAGGTACTAGCCGGATACCTTTATCACTGTGCCAAGAGTATGGGAATCATTTCCATAGAGCAGTGTTGGCAAGTGAGACTCATTTTGTTAGATTTCTATCCAGAGTTAGTCATTGCGAATATATAAGTTTTGGTGTACTCTGTATGTAAGGAGGAATGTAACATAGGTTCATTCCGATGAAAGAACTAGAAGAGAATTGTTTTTAGGTAGAACGAGGAGAAGGTCTGAGACCTGTAACCAGCTGCGAAGGCTTAGGTGTACCCATATATTTTTACTTAGAGGTTGTGTGGTACTGCACAATGTTCACTGTGGTTATACTATTCTATTATGCTATAGTTCTGGGCAATAGCATAAAAAGCGGAATCATAGCTACGCTATTTTTCTTTTACAATCATAACGAATGCACCAGAGTGCAATGGACTCCGCCGTTGCGTGAAAGTTTTGCATACCCTATATTGCTCTTTCAAATGTACACTACGACTGTGATTCTTAGGCAAAGTACTACTCCAGGTTCTGACACGGATGCTCTGATGGTGCGTTGAAATGATCTATAACATCTTAATACATTCATAGAACTACCCAGTAACATAATTTCATTATTTCAGAGAATGGGTGTATCCACGATAATCAGTCTATGCTGTTGGCAATTTTCTCAATTTGTGTTCACCACACAGATCATAGCTTTATTGATATTAAAATGGATGAAGATAATCTCAAATGATCTCTATATATGCATTTGCGTAATTCAGGGTTCAAGTGCCGCGTTAGCGATGAATGTAGTGGACAAAAATTCCTTACTCTACTCTTTGTATTTCTGTCTTTTGTTCACTAGCTGCTTTTTGAGTTTTGCCATTAAATTCTCCAAATTCATGAATACAAAAGTGCAAACGATCTTAGAAATTGTTCTCACAATCGTCTGTACAACAGTATTGAAATCCGATTTCTCCATCATTTGCGAGGACGACGCGCACGTGTTCAATTTACTCAAGTCAAAGCTGACCGATTACAAGGATTTCCACACGATGCTGTACACCTGCTCCGCAGAGTTCGACTTCTTACAGTACAGAAGTTACGAGACGATCGTGAAGACGTTGCTGTTGCCATGTGCCGTACTCGCCGGAATGCTGGCGCTCTATTTTTGGTACAGAAACTATCAAATCAAAGGATACCCGAAATGCATAGACGCGGATTTAGCGTACAACGGCCTGCAGACTGGAGCGTTCATCATCATGGCGATATTTATCATGAGACTAAAACTCTTCATGAACCCGCATCTCTGTATAATTGCCGGCACGGTTTGCTCGAACAGGTACCTGGAGAAATTTGGTTTGAAAAATGAGATGATGAAGACTGCGGTTACTGTTCTATTAATATCAGCAATGTCTTATCACGGTTTGGAGAAACTTCAAGAAGAAAGAAGCATCATAGGTAATTGGAAACTTTTCAAAACATTTGACTAATAAATGAATATTTCTGTTACCTGCTCCAATTGCTTTCTGTGCTAAGGTGAATACAGCAACATCGAACAAGAAGAATTATTCGAATGGATAAAGAGCAACACACCCGAGCACGCTGTGTTCGCTGGAAAGATGTCTTTGATGGCTAATTTAATGCTCTCCACTGGAAGACCCATAGTCAATAACCCCTATTACGAGAGCAAGGAGATGAGGTACATAAATATATTTTCAAATTTCCAAACCCAGCTCACATCGATTTCTATTTCAGAGACCGGACGATGAAGGTCTACGAGATCTTCAGTAGAAAGGATGCAGCATCCGTGTATTTCAATCTGAGGAACATGCACGTGGGATACGTGGTGCTGGAGAAATCACTATGCTTTGGCTCCGCGAATTTGTAATTGAAACAATTCATTCGTTCGCAGATTGAATGATCTATGTCACTTTGTAATTAACATACGCGTAAATATTTCTGTTTCAGACAAATTGGATGCCAAATGATCGATCTCTGGGACATGGTCGACAATGGAACCGCGAAATCCGCTGGGAAGTTACCACTCTGTCCGTTGTTGTTCCGTGGAAACGCTTACCCCTTCAAGAGGGCCTTTGTAAATAATCGTTACGTCGTTTTACAGCTCGATTACTCTTACTACGTCGAAGTGAAACCAAAGACTTCCATTCCTCTTCATTATCAATCTTAAAATCATTTCTTGTGTTCGTGCGACAAATCGATGATACCTCGCGAGAAGATACTTTTCCCAAAAGTTGTATATGAGAGAGAGATATATATATATATTTCTTTGAAAAGAATGACTGGAGTGCGCTAGAGTTGTTGGCAGTGAAATTTGAATAAAGGGTTAGAGTACCTCTGCGTCCCTATGGAAATCCATTATTTCCGCATCCTTCTACTGGCAATATTTATTTAAGGTAAAATTTATTTATTTTTTTTTTATTTATCAAACAGCCGATAGAATATGTTTTCTTTCAAATGTTTGGAAGGCGATGGAAGAGTTTGATGGAAAGTCATCCTGGAGAAACGACGGAGAGCATCGAATTGAGAGTTTAAAAGAAAAATCGAATCACGCCCGCGAAGATAGCTCCGTTATAGCCGGGTAGAGTATAGCACCTTCACTTGGACGTGTAACGGATAGTATAGTCGGACGCTTGCCAGAGGTATACTCCGTTGTGCCGCTGACCCAAATGAATCCTATGGACACAGTCAGTCCCGGTCCGGGCTTCTTCGCGGCAATACTGTTCGCTCGATCACAGCTGGCACCGTTTAAACGTGCTCGTTCCATTCGACATCAAACGATCGTTGTCTAATAAACTACCTCGATTTTCTTCAAACAGTGCCTTCGATCCATCTCGATTGGAATTTTGGCAACGAATTAATGAACATCTCGCTGCCCATATTGCAGCGGGAAACAGTGGAATTCAACGGGAGCTCCCTTAAACAGTGAAAGTTTCGAGTCAATCGATACCGGGGAAAGAAACTCGAAAAACAGTCCTGTGCGATTTGTTTATAAAAATGATCCCAACAGTGACTCGGCTGTGATTTCAAAAGAACCGGCTATCAGCGTACCGTTTGGCGGGAATCATTTCTTACTCTCATTTCGTTCCGATGGAATTTTTGTTTTAGTGTAAGTTTGAACAGTGAAAGAAGACGAGGATATTGATTAATACCGATCGATCGAAGATCCACGAAGGCATACCAGAATCTTAGAAATAATCGGGTACCAGTTGGAGCGGAACGGGAAGATAGAGGATGCAAAAACGTAGAAATTTTCAGCATCGCATCTGAAAAGGATCGAGGATTCACCGTATTCGATAGAGATGCGGTTGCATTTCACGATCGTTCCGCGTAATCACTGACACTCTGCAGTGAGTACCTCTTTCCATTTTTCTTTTTACATATTTGCATTCTTTCATATACTTTTTTTTCCTCTCTATCGTTCGTTAACGAAGGAAATGATTCGTGGAATATCAAGGACATCTCCGCCTCGCGTCCTTGCGTCTGCTTATGGACGGTGCATTAATTCGCTCAATGAGCATAACAATGTAAATGCAGTCCTCGATCGGACACGCGGACGATCGTTCGCTATAATTTCGAAATTATCCTCGTTCCGGCGTGGAATTCTAATTTCGACCCATTCAGGAATACCGGACTCGCAGGATATCACTGTTTTACCTTTTGTCCCGGACGAGACCGCTCGTTAATCGAGCAGGGTTCGAAGAGAATTGCTGTCGCATTGATTGGCTATTGGGTCTAACGTTGGGAACATCCGGCCTTTGGATTCTATCGTTACTCGGATGGCGTTAATGAAAAGTATCATAGGTGATCGACTTATTCTTTTTAATTACATCGGTGTATGTACAGGTGTAGCTGTTAGACCAAGTATGCGGCACAATTCAAGATACGCGAATCGAGGAACGTTCTAACGGTTCATTCCCAAAGAGTAGGGAAGTCGAACCGTGAAATTGAAATTCGTACGAGATTCCTGTGATCCATGTACGTAAAAGAAGAAACTCGATACGTGGACGAGCGAATGGAAAGAAGTAGTAGGAGGATCGAGGAGGAGGGAGGTTCCTAGTTCGCTAAATAGCCGTTTCTTCCCTGACCTCGAAACCACGCGGAACATAGACAGCGCGGTTGCGTTTGCCTCAGGAATTTGGCACGCGTGTTCTTTACCGCGGTGCCGGTGGAAAAAAAGCGCTCGAAGCCGTACCGAGACCGGCCTAAATCCTCCGAGACGATCGGCTGCGAACGTTGAACCGATAAACCGCGAGTTTTCTATAGAAACCAAACCCGCCTCGACTTGTAATTACTTTAACATTCCGTTCGCTTATGTTATATAAGGAGCCGTTAACAATGGAATGGCATTCGAAAATTGTGTTTTCGATGGTCTCGAGGAGCCTTGAAATTAATTATAGCAGAGTCTCTTTGAATATGTGTAATGTTGTTACGAGTAGAGTTATAATTAACTACTGTCATTTATTTAAAAATCGAGAGGCCTTGATGTAAAATGTTGAGGATGGAATATCGAATGCCCATCACCCAGCCGCACCTAATCTTCCACGGTTACTTTCTCGCGGTATTCGTAACCCACTTTTCAGCGAGGATGCAGTCACCCCGTATGCTCTCGTGCCAACACTCGAATTAGAAGGGTCTAATTCGCTCGAATTATCTTCGACCGTGTTGCAGTATCCTCGCTGCGTCTCCTATCAAAGCGCATACGCGATCTTAATATTTACTTTTTTCATTCCAGTCGTATCGTATAAATTCATCCGAAACGATCGTTCGTGAAAGTTAATTGCAATTTCATGATTTCTAATTGGAAAAGAAAAGACACTTCCTGGAGATGAAAATTTAATCAGCCGACAGAGGAATTCTTGGAGAACCAGTTTCCACTCGGTTCGCCAAATCCAGAGGCGGAAGTGAACTTCGATCGTTTCGAACCGATCAAACCGTAAGGGAAACGGTATCGATGAACGTGTAGCTGAAAGAAATTTCCTCCTCGTGGATCATGCATAACCGTGAGAAACAATTCTTCCAAGGTAGAGGCCGTAGTGTCTTCTTCGGAGTTGAAGAGACAGGGGCATTCCAGTTTGAGATAAACGAGCTTGGGAGGAACAGAGTAGAGTGGGCGACTGAGTTTCACATGACCGAGTTAGAGAGCATCCATTTTTACCGGGGCCACGATACTCGTGACATCAGATATCGTTTTCACGTGGGATGCTTGATGGCTCGGCCTAATTGGACAGAGGTCACAATCATGAAACGTAATTTTCGTTGCGGCGTAAGGTAATTGCTGGAATTGATGGTCCCTCTGTTTCATTGGTGTCCGCCGGTTTCGTATGGCGTTTAGAATTGAATCGTGGTGCATTGATAAATATTTAAGATTTGGTGATTGTTGTAGAATTTTTTAAGTTGTACCTTGATGTATGCATTGGAGTAATTGGGATCTTACATCATTTTAAGATCCTTAGATTCTAAAGTTCCAGAATTTTCTATTTTTCAAATTCTTTTCTAAGGTTCTAAGGTTTTAAAACTCCAAATTTTTCAGATTCTAGATTTCTAAGGTTTTAAGATCCTAAAATTATGAGATTCTAGAATTCTAAAATTCTAATCTTCCAGGATTCTAAATTTTTAAGATCCTAAGATCCAAAAATTCTAAATTTTTCAAATTTTCCATTTTTAAGGTCCTGAAATCCTAAGATCCCAGAATTCTAAAATTCTAATCTTCCAGGATTCTAAATTTCTAAGATCCTAAAATTCTAAATTTTTCATATTTTCCATTTTTAAGGTCCTGAAATCCTAAAATTCCAGAAACCCAAATTTCTCTTTGGAATTCCAAAATTCCAGCACACTCTAAATAAACCCAGAAAACCCAGCTGACTGCACAAAAGATCCTAATTTCTCGAATGGGTGCACATAGGGTACGAAATTTCAGATGTTAGTCCATCCTGAAAGGACCAAGGACACGGGTCGAATCTTCCCCCCGGTGGAATTTTTTATTTCTTCCAAACTGGTTCGGTCTTCCTTGGCCCGGAACAAGGCCAGGTTTCTTCCCTCTTGATCTCATGTGGCGAGCACAATAATTTCTGACCTTGCTCGATGCTACACCTCTCAACATTCCAAGCTAATCGAACGACACACCTCTCACCGGTGCGTCTCCATAATCAACGCACCTCTGGATATATTTCTTCCCTTGTGTGCCTCTCTACACATAATTAGGAAGCACTAATATCGGAATCTGTGTCGTGCTCCATCCTAAAAATACATTCTCCAAGGAATTTTGTTTTCTATCTTGAGGTAAATGACTCTTCGAAAGAAGCAAAGGGCTATAAATTTGTCCTAAGAACGTTCGACTCCTTCTAAAAGGATAATTCTTGGAATTTTTTGGAAGATTAACGTTAGAGCTATCAGATGAGACAAAATGACTGATTACAGATTTTTTTTATTATAAATTATAGAACGTTGGTAGTTGTACCTTGATGTATCCATTGGAGTAATTGGGAAGGGACTGAAGAGGGTTGGACCTTCCATCATTCTAAGATTCTTAAATTCTAAGGTTCCAGAATTTTTAACTCTTCAAATTCTTTTCTAAAATTCTAAGGTTTTAAAATTCCAGATTTTTCAGATTCTAGATCTCTAAGGTTTTAAAATCCTAAAATTATGATATTCTAGGATATCAAGATTTAAAAATTTTGAAATTCTAAATTTCTAAGGTGTTAAGCTTCTAAGGTCCTAAAATTCTAAAATATCAAACTTTTTAATTTCTAAGCTTCTAATGTTTTAAAATTCTCGATTTCTAAGATTTTAAGATCCTAAAATTATGAATTTCTAGAATCCTATGATTCTAAAATTTCAGAATTCTAAGTTTCTAAGGTCTTAAAATTCTAAAATATCAAAATTTTTAATTTCTAAGCTTCTAAGGTCTCAAAATTTTAAAATATCAAAATCTTTTATTTCTAAGCTCCTTAAGGTCTTAACATTCTAAATTGTACTGTTAAAAGTATACGATGAAAGGAATAAGATGTTGATAATTCCGTACACATGCTCAAACTCGTGCGAAAGTAAATTCTTTTGAAAAAGGATTATTATACACGGTCCCGTACATACGTTTCCGTGGACTTTCTTCGCGTAACCTACTTCCGGCAGGAAGAATGATGTTCACATCGGGTAAAAACAGTGAACTATAATAAAGACAAGATCTCCCGACTGGTTTCTTCCAGCGACATTGTTATCAGTCGAAGGAAAACTAACCCGCTTTCTGTCGTTTCTCTAATTCTAATCCTATTCTAACAAATGCTAATTTTATTTCATCTAAACCTTGCTAAATTAGCATTCATATCTCTCCAAACGATTTTATTATTCTAAGCAAGCTTCTCTTGATTACATATTAATATCAGTATTCCATATTGATAACTTTAGAAGAACTCTTCATGAATATAAAATAGAACAATAAATGAAAGTCTTTATTTTATAACATTTCACTTTCATTTTTTGATCGAAATCTATGTGGATTGTTTATTTCATCAATCTTCCAAGACTTTCTTTGTCTTTTCCAAAAATACTTATCACTGTTACCAAAGCAAAGAAAACAAGTCATTTCGAATATTATTAATATTTAAAAAAATATTTTAAAATATGATGATAATTCATTTAAAGTATGAATTATTAATCATAGATTTCGTCGAAGATTTCTGCTCTTGACTGCGTTTACTCGTTACGCAAGCAGATTACGATCGCTGATTTCTCAGCGATTTTCCAGCAGAACGTTTGAAAATTTCATCGACTTCTCTAATATCGGTCGTTACGAATAACTTTGCGCGAAAAAATGAAACGATTGCAAAAGAAGGTGGAAATCGAGCGGCTCGGTTTCGTGAAAGTCTACAGGCAAGGAAAAGGTATTCGATTCGTAGTCGGAAGTATCGAGATCGAAGATACATATTTATAATTTTTCATCAGAGATGCTCTTATGATAAGGAACACGAGAAAGTAATTAAACAAATTTCACGAATCCACTCTGTGAGATTCGTCGATTTTAATGCTTTTATTTTGTGAAGGGAAAAATATATAATTGGCTGTAAAATTTGTTAATGAAGACGTTCTTTTGCGGATTTTTTTAATTAGATTAGACTTTATGGGGAATAGAAAGTCAGAGGGCAGTGTAGCGAAAGAAACGGACAGAAGTAAGGAAACCGTGGCAAACAAGGAAGAAAATTTGCGACAGGGCAACGACGTATCCTCGCGTTATTTCCCTCCTTCCTCGGTTGACATTTTACGTGAAACCAACCGTTTACGACTTCCTCGTTCGTGGGGTAATAAGCCTGTACCGAGTAACCGGAGATTGATTAATAATAATTTCTGTGGTTCTTCTTCCTCGACCACGAGGATGTAATAATTCGACGAGTACCACGCTAATTACCAGAAAGCTTTCATCGAGATTAAGGCATTACCACTCTCACTGGGAATCTTGTCTTACCTTTGAAATCTGTTGAGAAAGCATTTCCCTTGGGTTTCATTTTTTCTGTTCTTCAGAGCTTTTGTTCTATGCCACTTTCTGATTGAGAATTAATTGGATGGATGCATTGTGGGATTAGGATTTCTCGGAGTAGGCAGAGGAGATTTGGTGTAGAAGTATTTAGGATTTTAGAATTTTAGGATCTTAGAATCATAGAATTTTGGAATTTGCAATTTTGCAATTTTGCAATTTAAAATTTGAGAATTTGCAATTTTATAATTTGGAATTTTGGGAACTTACAATTTTAGAATTTGGAATTTTGCAATTTTACAAGTTGGAATTTTGCAATTTTGAAACTGGAATTTTGAAATTCTGGTATCCTAGAATTTTAGAATTTTAGAATCTTAGAATCCTAGAATCTCAGAATCCTAGAATCTCTGAATCCTAGAATCTCAGAATCCTAGAATCTCAGAATCCTAGAATCTCAGAATCCTAGAATCTCAGAATCTCAGAATCCTAAAATCCTAAAATGATAAGGATCTCAATTACCATTTTAAGCGAAATATCCTCGAAAATTCTTGAAAAGAACGTTTTCTACGTCTCATGAAAAAAGTGAAAGGTAGAAGAACAAAGAATGGCAAAAGAAACAAGAAAACTTTGATGTAAATTTAACATATGTTTATTTTTATTTTCAGAGATGCGAAGCGAGGTAGGAGAATGGCTGCCCACCTGTGTAGGTTCACCGATATGCATCCTGTTGCTGTCCTGGTCTCTGTTGATCTACCAGAATCAGCCATCCTCAGCGAAACGGCGGATCGACGTGTTCACGGTAGCCGTTCTATCCGAGAGCCTCGCTCATCAACTCGGATTGCTTCTGTACGCGATTCTTACGCTCATTCGACCGAGTAATCACTTTGGAGGTAATGAAACAGTGAATCATACAATCGACATACAGCTTCGTTATTACACTTCCAGAGTGTTACGAGATTAATGGTAGAGAAAGCGATTCAACGATACCAGGTTCATTCTAACTATGATAATAATCAAAAGCAAAACATTGTGCAATATTTATATACTTCCATAACAAGAGGAAACTAGCCATTTTAATTAATTAAAATTAATGATTAGATCACTGATCTTCAGGTAAAAATTTAAGTCCCATTCCACTTCTACTCTATACTATCATTGATCCATTAATAAACCTTCCCCCATTAACATTTTCCAATTTATCTTTCAGAATTCTGCTCGACCCTAGTTTGGATGCTGAACTCGTCCACCATTCTTCAAGAACTAACTCTGACCTCCATCGCAATCTTCACAGCAATAACTTCCAGGGATGATAAAGTAAATCTGACAAAGAATCATCTCAAGTATCACCTGGTCAGTCTGAGTGTAATCAGCGCCTGTATCGGTGTAACAGGTGTCCTGAACTTCGAGCCAGACCTCTGTGTCTTCTTGGCTCAAGAAATTTCCCTGAAATATGGAGTATTCGTGAATTCTCTGAGATGTTTACTGATGGTCACCTCAGTGATCAGCCTCCTGTTGGCTCTGTTCAGGAGAGTTTGTCGTAGACCGAAGGCAGAGTTGTTGAAGTCAGTGTCAGATTTGTCAGAGACCAGCTCGAAGAACTCTTCAGGAGCTTTCGATTGTCATCCACAACAGTGGGATCCGTCCAGTGGGTCCTGCACCAGTGGATCCACCAACAGTAGAGCCTGTCTGAGGAAGAAGAAGGTGCAGGTGGACGAGGCCAGTGGAAGATCCACTATTTATAGCATTCTCTTCGTCTGCTATGTTTTTCAACACCTGCCAATGCTGGTATGTTTATTTTTTATATTGCACCATAGATCCATTAATACTGACTGATACAAAAATAATTGCTTTTCATTTTAAAAAATGCAACGAAGAACAGTAATGTATTAGATGGTAGGTACATTTTATTATTTTTCAGTATTAATGGTTTAAATCATTGTTGATGAAGCTTTGTAGTAATCAAAGGGTTCCTCCAACCGGAAACCAGCTCGAGTTCCAGTCATCCGGAAGTTGACGAGCCAGCAGTTATATTCTCTTTATTCCCCACCGGAATTCCGTTTGTTGCCTCGTCGAAACAGACGAAATATAAAATTCTCCGTTCGGTTAGATAGGAAATGGGAACAAACGGTTAGAGGATTCATAGGAGTGTTCGAAAGTAGAAGCATAACATTGCCTCGGTATCAGACTCGATTAAGATTCGTTGGATGATTGCTGGAGAAACTCCCTGACCTTCTTCATTAATATTTATAATCGATCGTCTGACGCATTCTGTTTATTATCGAGCCGGCCGCCCGTGAATTAGGTTGCTGCCATGCGGGCATTCAAGTCTCTGTCATTCAGTGGCTCTTTGTTGCTTCCTAAACGAGTTTCGAGAGGAATTCGATCCTTTTAAGAAGCCACTTTTCATTCTGCATCATCAAAGATAATTATTATTAAATATTAAATTGAATGAGAAGATTTTGGGTAATTTTAATAGAAGGGCTGATCTAATTTTTCTAACTTTATCAATTTTTATTAGATTGATTTGAAACTTTCAGAAAATATTTTTAAAATATTGCTATATTTTAAGAAATTATCAAAATTTGTTAAGAAATACAATTTAGAAAATTATAATAATATGAAATGCAAAGTTGAATTGAAATTGGGGCTCTCTCCATGGTCCGCCACTCGAGAGTTGAAACAGACACCTTATATCAAATTCAATCAAGTTTCTTTTTTATCGCTAATGATCTTATTAATTTATCTGCATTTTAAGCAAACATTTAAGTAATTTAAATTATTAATCAGATAAAATTCGAGGTCACATTACCACTCTTTCTTATATGGCATTCAAAGGCTTAAGATCCACTTGTATGCCAGTTGAGTATCAATGACCTTATTTTCAATATTAATTTATGATTCTTAACGACATTGTTAAAATAAATCAATTTCAATGGTAGGAGCCATCTGACTGAACACTTATCGCGTCCTAATTTTTCTTTTCCGATAGTCATGCAACCTAAGAATCGTCTTCAAGTGTCATAAGCATCTCATTTTCTCCGGATCGATAAAAAGAAAAGTTCTCTAAAGAGAATCTTCCTTTTCACGATGACAAACGAAAAGTAGTTACAGGCCGTTTGACTTTCAGACTTGCGATGCAATTTTTCTCGCAGTCCACTTTCCTTTCGGCAATCATACGTGTAAATTACTGTCAACCGAATCGACCTCGATCGACGAGAAAGCCCAGAAAGACGGTGATCGAAATTCGAACAATTGAAACAAAGTAGTGAGTTGAACATTGTAATTGATAGGTGAAACTCGCTTCCACTTTGATGGGAGATAGAGAAACATGATAGAAAAAGGTATGACCTGCCCCTCGTTGGGGAATCGCGCGAACCGGAGCGATACGTTTGTGCAGCGCGCGTGCAATGCCTTTTGTTATTCTATACTCGGTTTTTTTTTTTTTTTTTTTTTTTCCAAATAAAAGTTACGTTAGATGTATATTTTTGCTTAGAACGTACGAAACGCTCTGATAATTTTATTTAAAAAATTTTTATTTTCATTATGGGTGATGGAATCATATGGGATCATTAACACTTTGATTAAAAATTTCATTAGGTATTATTTTTATTTTTATTTTCATTATGGGTAATGAATGCATATAGAAATTTGATTGAAAATTTCATTATTATTTTTATTTTTTATTTTTATTATGGGTGATGGAATTATTTGGAAATTCAAATAATTATACCTTAATTGGAAACTTAATTAGGTATTGCTTTAATTTTTTAATTTTTTAATTTTATTATGTGCGATGGAATCATATTAAAATTCAGAAAATAATATCTTGATTGTAAATTCAATTAGGTATTAGTTTTATTTTTTATTTTCATAATGAGTGATGTAATTATATGGAAATTCAAGTATTAACACCTTGATTAGAAATTTCATTAGGTATCGTTTTTATTTCTTATTTTCATAATGGGTGATGGAATTATATGAAAATTCAAGTATTTACATCTTGATTGGAAATTTAATTAAGTATTATTTTTATTTTTTATTTTCATAATTAGTGATGGAATTATACGAAAATTCAAGTATTCACACCTTGATTGGAAATTTAATTAGGTATTATTTTTATTTTTTATTTCCACAATAGTTAATTGCATCTATCATACATAATTTCAAATTTCTAATTAATTAAGTCAAAAAATTTCTAATATTAGTGACATGTATAACAATCAATGTGTTAATTATTACCACTAAAAATATTTCTGAAATCCTAAAAAAAATTGCTTTAACCACTCAGTATTTATTCCATTCGCGCAACTTTGCTCCAGAAAATAAACCGCGACCGATTTCGCGCATCAAGAAGCTGCATTCTTTCATGAAAATCATTAGCACCGGTTGCTGGTGTTAAACGAAGTTGTGCGAAGAGAAATATCTCTATGGAGTGAAATTTTATTATAAACAGTTTCACTGTGTTAATAGAACGATATTTCGAGGTTTCCCTTTCCTATGGAGAGCCACTTTCAGAAAGGCAAATGCGTGTTGTATGCGAGTCACGTTCTAAGCCGCTGTGTTCTCTAATTAAGGTACTGGTTTCGATTTCATATCTCCGTCACCCGTTACACGCGTAATCGCTGGCTCAACTCGCCGCGAATTAAAAACGAGTAGGTAATCCGCTCTTATCCACCGTCTACGATTCCTTTTTCTTACACGTAATTCCTTGTTAATCGAGTTTCTTCGAGGGGCTGGAATAATTTTTCTATTCACACGCCAAACGATACGAAATATGCACATGTCTGGACTTTCATTGTTGCGTAACAACCGTGCGGTTTCCTTGCGATTTTTTACAAAACTAGTGCAATCATTTTTATCAACTGTGAAAGTTACGCGTCCCGTTTTACGTGATACTTGAAGTCGAATATATGATTGACGATGCGATTGATTTCTGAATGAATTTTCATAAATATTCATGAGTTCGAGGGAAATTCGTTTTCGAAAGGAAACTCCGATTAACAAATGTATCTATCGATATTTTTATTTTTGAAACAGAGTAACGTATACAATTATTAACCCTTTTCCTAACAAAGCAGAAAATATAATACGTTTCTGATATAAAGAAATAGAAATTTAAATTGATATTGTGCCTCGAAATTTAAATTGATATGGTCCGCCGTTTTAGCGCGGTCGCTCTCCATGGTCCGCCGTCTAAAAATGTAAAAATCTAATTATATTATGTTTCTTCCTTTTTTAGGAAAAGGGAAATAGACTCATGTTTCTTTTAGAATTAATTTCGTGATTCAGAACATTTCCATTATGGTCCTCGAAATTGAATAAAACGCGCGCATTGCTGCGCTTTTGAAAGCGCGACCGAGCGGACGATTTTCACTAGAAATTCGCGGCCGGTGGATCGTTCGAATCGAAAGTAAAACCACGTGGGATCCTTCATAGACGTTTCGACGTTTCCCTCGTTCTCCTTTTTCGTTCTTCTCGTTCAATCAACGCGTCGCTGTGAAATTACCGTAGCGCACCCACCGTTTGTTTATCGACGCGTCGAACAATTAATCGCATGCGATGAACGCTGCATTCCGCTCAGCGAAAGCCGCGAGTCATTCCTGACACGATTTCACGTTGGAAATCGTCCTCTCGTCCTGGGAAAAATTCTTTTTACGATCGCGCGAGGAAATTTAGTCTTTCCAGTCGATGCAGATTCGAATCGAGGAATCGTATAGACGTGTAGGGGGTAAAACGTATAGGAATCGGAGGATGAAATGGGAAAACGGATGGGAAGGTTTTAGAATTTTATATGAATGCAAAGAAGAAAGTAAAATTTCATAAATTGAAACTTACATATTACTGTAATTATGCGAGAAGTAGTTCACATTGCTATTTTCATGATAATCTTCAATCAGGAGATAAAAAGAAATTGAAACTATTTATTTAATGATAAGTAGATACATCCGGAAATAAAATCGTAATGGAGAGACAGATTGAAGTTGAAAAGAGCAGAGGAAACAATGGACCATAATAATGGAGCAATCTTTTTTCCCCTTCGTAGGTGATATCCATCAAGCCGGGTCTCCTGAGGGATTTCTGCACACCCCAGAATCTCGCTACTTGGCTACCCTTGGTAAAAGACACCCTTCTTCCTGTGTTTCTGGCATTATTCGACAAAATGTTCTGTCGCTACGTCGCCAAGGTTTATACGAAACAGGATCATGCAAGAAGATTGTCGCACGGTTAGTATTTCAGCTAGTATAAATTTGAAGATTTTTGGGGAATTTTGTACTTCCCTCGACGTCAATTGCTGCGTTTTATTATTCTCTACAAAAAATTATAAGGATACATAGGTCGAAAAATGAATAATTAAAAAAATATTCTAGGGAGAGACGAGCAGTCTCTCCCTAGGATATCTTTTTAACTAAGCAATTTTCGACCCAAGTACCTTAATACCTTTTTGTAGAGAATTAAAATACGCTTCCAATGATGTATAGCAAAGTATAAAATTCCATTTTTTTTAAATGAAGGTGATTTTGAAATCGTTAAGAAATTTTTTTGGAATTTTGCACTTTGCTATACATCATTGGAAGCGTATTTTAATTCTCTATAAGAAAGTATTAAGGTACCTAGGTCAAAAATTCATTATTTTAAAAGTTATCCTAGGGAGAGACCAGGAGAGACAAGCAGTCTCTCCCTAAGATATCTTTTGAACTAATCAATTTTCGACCCAAGTGCCTTAATACTTTCTTATAGAGAATTAAAATACGCTTCCAATGATGTATAGCAAAGTACAAAATTCCATTTTTTTGAAATGAAGGTGATTTTGAAATCGTTAAGAAATTTTTTTGGAATGTTGCACTTTGCTATACATCATTGGAAGCGTATTTTAATTCTCTATAAGAAAGTATTAAGGTACCTAGGTCAAAAATTCATTATTTTAAAAGTTATCCTAGGGAGAGACCAGGAGAGACAAGCAGTCTCTCCCTAAGGTATCTTTTGAACTAATCAATTTTCGACCCAAGTACCTTAATACTTTCTTATAGAGAATTAAAATACGCTTCGATTGACATATAACAAAGTATATGTCCACTTCTGAAACCGACTGATACATCAGGTGATGCTCTATTCAACACCATCTAATTTCACCTAATAATATTTCTCTCTATCTTCTACCATTTTAGAAATATAAGTTTAACCATCATCGGCGATCACGACTCTAAACCATTCAAAGAAACAGGATTCCACGATCCGGTGGTATTTCCACGAAGTAGGATGACATCGATTCGCGAATGAAAAATTCAACGCGTTGACCCGCGGTGCACGCGTGGGAATCGAGCTGCAGATGCAACGCACGCGTAATCGCGAAGGAGAAATATCAGTTATGCGACAAGCAGCAATCTCGCAATCGCCTCTGACCACATGCCATTACGGGTTCATTTCTCTTTTACCCTCGTGCGGGATTCAATTTTTTTTTTTCTCTCTAGCGTGTCCGATTCGATCGCGTTCTCCGCGATAAATCCTGCTTAATCTCAGCTATTTGTTAGATTTATCGTTCACACGTTTCGGTCTTATTTCATAGAAGATTTAGCTTCGTTAATAGCGCGAATACTCGCAAGAGAAACTTCGGCCTGCTTCGAAACGATTTCACGAAAATTTCTGTTACGCTTCCTTCGCAGGAGGTATAGACGGCAAATTTCGTCATTTCGAACAGGACGCCGAGTACAAGCTGCAGTTGAACCTGAACCACGGCCTCAAGTTCCCCTTGACTAACGGAAGCCTCTACGGGCGATTGCACAATCATCAGAACAGAGGCGAGTACACGAATTCACCTTTCTTTCTCTGCAATGTGCTACTTTCATCAGTTCCATGAATACCATACAATGGATAAAGCCACTCACGCTAACAACAGTTTCTATAATCCTACCCCATTTTCAATTTTTATTGACTACAAAATGTTTTTTCAGGAAAGACTGGAACGATCACAATGGGAATACAACACTATCCTAGAACCCAGACCCTCAACGAGGATAGCAACTATGCATCTCTACCAGCTGAACTGTCCTCCTTCACCAGCTCCACCTTTGAACCTCGTCAAGACACCAATCCCGTTGATAATTCTAAGAAAAATACCATAGAGCAACAGAATAAATGCTCGAGATTGAACGAAGGGTTTCTTGAACTACCTGGAAGTCGAAGGAAGATTGGTAGCACAGATGTGTTTGGACAGAACATGCAGAATTTGGTCCAGCTGGAGGAACCTTGCAGCAAAAGAAAGTTCACTAAGAGTCTGGACGAGATTCGAGAAGAACCGTCCAGGAGACACGCTAGAAGCGTGCTAGGATTGGAGAATTTGATCACGGGTCTGGATAACAGTGTTCAGGAGCGACAGCGTTATCCTAGGATCGCTCTGAGAAGGAATCAGAGCTTCGATCATGCTAAATGCCAATCGTTGGTGTTCATTCATTTTTGTAATCAGAGGTTCTTTGATTGGAATTCTATTCTGACAATTTTATTTTTATTTTAGGTACCATCGACCGTTCCTGGATTCAAGGACGTACGACCTGAAGAAGCAAAGGGAGGAACAGCAAAGTTTCCAGAGACAGGAGACTCAGGAGGAGCCGGACGGGTATGAAACGTCCGACGACGAGAGCTGTGATTTAGAGAACGGGGATTTTGATACTATGAGCTCCTGTAGGAGTCGAAGTAGAAGCTGTTGCTCAGTCACCACAGTGGCGAACGATGATTTCGAATATTTTCAACGTAAGGGAACTAAGGTAACATTCCCAGCCCGGTTTCTAATTAATTAAACACAATTGTAATGCACTGATCTTACAGATATCTTATTTTCTTTGTCAATTTGCTGACAATCTTCCAAAGTCCTCGTTACGTTACTGAAGATCCTTCGGAATTTACTCAGACCATGCAGTGTCCTAACGTAGAAATTACTCCGTCGAGCACTTGATTGACCTTTAAACGTAGAACACTTGCGTAACAAGAATCGTGAGAACGTGTTGCTTTTGCAGGTGGAGCTGTTGCCCTCGAAGAGAGGCAGCGAGGTAAAGGTCAACATGCGATCTTTCACGCCGAAGATCATCGAGAACGAGACGGAGGATCGCAAAGAGATGAAGAGCAAATTGATGGACACGAAACCGTCCATACAGTCGTACCGTTTGAAGAAACAGAGAATCGGACCTGGTTATTCGATGAATGATCTAGATAAGATTAGTGTTGATAGAAAATTACCAGATCTGTCCATAGACAGCCTGAAAAGCATTCTGATGAACTCTGATGTCAGTTACTTAGATAACGGAGACATATGTAGACACGATATTGGAGGATCTGCGCCTGATTTGAAGAAGATCTTTGTGACTGAGTTTATATGAAAGCTTTTGGGCTTAGAATTTGTACAGTCATGGAATGTGTTGAGAAAACAGACTGTACAATGTGCTTTTGAAGGATAGATGTAGGAATTGAAGAATGTTTAAGAAACTTTAGGGCCCGGTTCGTGGTCAGTTTTTGTAGAATGTGCAATTGTACAAAGTGTTCATTGTAAGATTAAGGGAGTTTCTTTGTTTAAGAAACGGCGAGGTAATCTCATGCAGTTTCTGCACGCTTCAGATCTAGAAAATTATATAACAGCTGCGCGGAAGTAGCCGGTTTGGAAAGTTCGCTAACGCAACTGGTCTCGATTAGGTCGTTAATTAATTCAATTGTCAGTCTCTTCGTTTCTTTAGATAGCAATCAGTTCCTCAAGGTTTGTCAGATTCATGAACGCGAAGATTTGATTACTGATCTTTGTGCTATAAGTGTTCTTCACTCTACAGTTTTATCTTCCATGATCTTGATAAGACTTTATTAAATTTTAAGAACGATTTCCATTATTCTCAAGCTGTAATGTTTCATTTATCTAATGCTGAAGCAATAATTGATGCTGAATACTGCTGATTCCTCGTTCAAATGAAACGATGCATTACTGTGCGTCATCTGTCCATTAATCACGAGAAATCAACGTGATAAATTATGGGTATAGCGATCGAAATTGTAAAATATGTTTGTAAATTATTTTCATTATTTGGGCGATTCTATTTCGCTCGTTGTTTCATAGGAAACCTTTGGAGAATATTCGTATTGTATGCAGATCGTTTTGTATATATCTTGTACATTTGTACGGTAATATTTAATTCGGTAAATACACATAAATACGTGGCATCGCGTGTAATTACATTCGTCCTAATTTATTCCTTTATTCAAGCAGTTTGGGTGTTTTAATTACGATTAAAACATGGGTAAAATGAGGTTAAATAATTCTGTAGGCATTATTCTTCAAAATTCAATCATAAAAATTCAATTTTGGATAGCGGTAAGTGTATAATTAATTATTATTTATTATTCCTTTTATAATTTCATATACGTAACCCCGTCATTATCGCCGCCATTATATCCGCCATTATCCCCGCCGCGCATGCGCAGTAGTCGTGCCACCTCTTCGCGCATTCTGTTATCTTACTACTAGGGGCAGGTTCAGATTCGTAGGTTTCCCCCACCACGCCTCCCTACTTATGAGCAGCCATTTGTGCTACCAACTCGCATTATGGTTTCCTGATATTAGGAGCACATAAAGAAAAGTAGGTGGCACAGTTTTGTGCCATCTCTTCAGTTATTCTATTATCCTATTACTCGTGGAGGAATTCGAGCAAAATCATACTTGAAAATGCAAATGGCTGTCTTTTGAAATAGTTCATGTTTTATATTGTAGAATAACATAATTAATGAGTTATTCAGCATATACATCGTTGATATACATAATCTTGATATGAAACAATTGTTAGAACCTTGTAGTATTTTTTTTAATTATAAAGGTTAAGAAAATATTTATTATTTTCGAAAAATTAATACGAATAATACGCGTATATGTATATTGAGGTTGGTAATTTAATAATTATAGATTACTGAGAGTAAAACTGTCAACGAAATTGGTATTAGAAATTCGTATTAACTCTCTTCTTTATAATGCAATCATAAAAGTTTAGAAAATAATCATCGAAATTGAGAAAATAATGAAAATTCGATGGTATGGAATTCCCGTGTATTTTCATATGGGACAATAGCTGCTAACGGAATTATTCGTTATTAACAAACAAAATGTTATCAAAAATGATTAAAGAATATATTTTCGACCTTTCTCTTCACGTTTAAATCATAAAGTATTACAAATAATTTCTATATTCAATAGAATTAATAAAAATTCCAAAGGTATTTTGCGGGAATATTAACCGTACTATAATTATTAATATCTCAGTAATTATAATTAAAATATGAACGAAACTAGCATCAAAAAATTCAGCAGGCCTCATTCTTCAAGAATTAATTATAAAAGTTCAGATTTTATTAGTATTAAACCCGTAATTAATGATTATTGTGTACCCTATATAACTTGCATAATTCGGAGGGGTTCTCCCACCATACCGCCCCATCGATCCACTGCGCAACTTGTTCTGCGCAGTCTGTTCTGCGCGTGCGCGCGGGTAGTCTAGTCTCGCGTTACCTCTTCGCGCATTCTGTTATCCTACTACCAGGAGTACGTTTCCAACCGTAGGTTCTCCCACTCCGCCAACCCAGAAGTCGTGCAACCTCTTCGCACATTCTACTATCCTATTACCAGGAGCAGTTTCTGGAACGGTAATTTATAAACATTCTAATACACTTGTTTCGCGTACTATTGCTCCTATATTACTTACATGATATAATCACGTTCTTTAAACTAATTAAGCTTCTTAAAACTAATTAATTGATTTTTTATTTTTATTAATTCCAAAGTATATTTTTCTATATTTATTTATTTTTTTATATTTGTTTAGGCTTAGAGAATTGCTTCTTAAATAGAATCTTTGGACGTAGTAGGATTCTAGGTTAGGTTTTTAAATACATAAACAGTATATCTCTTTAATTTTACATTTATTCAATTTTTTTTTTTCTAATGAAATTAATTACAAAGTTCCAAAATAGTTTTCAATATGGATATAGTATAATTAACATTTTTGAAAATTATAATGTTACTCTATCATGAATTCTGCTAGGCTCACTTAATATTCTTTTAACAATACAAGAGGATATTATACATGTCTCTTTCTATTTAATTCATCTGTTTTTCCTTCTAAGGAGGAAAATGCAGAGTTACATAAAGTAATTACAGAGTTCATCCTTTTATCTAATTGAAATCTAATGTACTTTAATGAAATATCAAGAGATAGAAACAAGAGAAAATGAATGGTAACAAATATTTAGAATATACTTTTGTTAGTTACTTAGAAAAACAATTATATTTTCGATTCTACGGTAACTTATTCAATCTTCCATTAGAAAGATTATTCTTAACCTCGTACGAAAATCTCTCCAATTAATTACTATCATTACTACTAACTAGAATCGCTTTCTAAGTTGATCACAAAACCTGTTTACGACTAATATACTATAATTATTACATACTACGTGCGGTTAATATCAATATTCGTTGTTCTTTTTCTACCGTGCACGCCCTCCAATAGACTCTAATCATCGCTTAATTACCTAATTAAATCGCACATAGCATTCTGTTATGTTCATGTTGACTAGCAATATACTGTTTGGCATCGTTAATAGTATCTTAAATTATGCTAACAGATTATCCTACAGGTTCCAGAGAAAAATGCATGAGTATCCATTTAATTATACAATATATTCCATGATTTTGAATTAAAACAACGAAATTAATTATCTAAATTATTGCTATGTCACTATATCAATTATGATTTCAAAATTGTTAATTGAGGAATAAGCTTGGCTCCTTAGAAATTTTGAAATTCTGAAATTTTAAATAGTGAGGGAGCCAGCCCACATTTTGAGGAGGACAGGCCTCATAGAAATTTTGAAATTCTGACATTTTTAAGGGGGCAGGCCCCCCAGTCCCTACCTAGTTATACTAATTACAAAATTATTTCTCATTTTTCCTCATGGAATATATCAAAACACTCTGACAGAATAAAAATTAGGATACTCAGTACATTTACATTAATGTAGACTTTTATAAAAATAGGAATCCGTTCGCTTTGGTAATAACAATTGTAAAAATAGATCTATGTCGTTGGTGTTGAGATCAATGAGTAGCATAGACGAGATCGTTCCCACGAAAAATCGCCTCGATCATTGACGTCCGATTAAAACTTCCACCCCTGGCCTCGACGATCGCCACCAGTTGCTGATATCGTTTCCAAGCGGTCACCGAGGCCGCTTCCCCTTCCGGTGCGTTCTTAATCTTCTGATACACATCCGTGCTCCTGACCGCAGCCTCGGAAGTCTGACACACGCCTTCCGTATCCGGTATCATCTATAATTGTACATGAAACATATTATTTTTAAGTTTTGAAATATCTCTGGTTTTTGTGATTAGAATCAGGAGAGTTAGAATATTATCAATTAGAGAAGATTAAAATTGCAAGGTTTTTTCTCGTTCGTCTTTTGTCCTCGTAAAAGTTCCAAGTCCATTCTCTTAAACCGTTCTGAAAGCTCGATGTTTCCATTTGCTAAATTGTACAAGCTCTTAAGCCCTCCCAGCCAGCCATTGTTCCATTTCGAAAGAGAGTCTATGATAAATCACCGAGCCCTTTAACACCTCCGGTCCAATTAAAATTCACTTTTATTATGGGAAACACGATCCAATTGTTTCCGGTGGGGTAAGTTAATCCTGGTATATTCCACTTATTGTTAGTCACTCGAGCTCTGTTCCTTGCAAATTCCTTGCAAGTATAGTTTTAAAAGCCTAAGGTTCTAAAATTCCATAGGTGCAATATTCCAACTTTAATAAGGTGCAAAACTCCAAATTGCAAGGTTGCAAATTTCAAAATTCCAAATTCTAGAATTTCAAATTGTGAAATTCCAAATTGCAAAGTTGCGAATTTCCAAATTCCAATTTCTAGAATTCCAACTTTCAAAATTCCAAAGTTGCAAGTTCTAAATTGCAAAATTCCAAATTTCCAAATTCCAATTTCTAAAATTCCAAAATTGCAAAATTCCAATTTCTAAAATTGCAAAATTCCAAATTTCCAAATTCCAATTTCTAAAATTCCAAATTTTAAAATTCTAAAATTTCGAAGTTGCAAGTTCTAAATTGCAAAATTCCAAATTGCAAAATTCCAAAATTCCAAATTCAAAATCTCAAAACCCAAAGATTCTAAATTTCTAAAATTCCCAACTCATCATCATTATTCTACATTTCCCTAGATCGAATCTAGCTTGCATCAACAATTACAGTACAGATGTATATTTAATTATCCACTCAACGCGACAATTAGCTTAATTAACGCAAATGTTTCTCTCTCACGGTAGAAGGATTAATTCAGCTCTGTTTTTCTATCGGTACGACTAATTGTTACCAATTTTCCTGGCTCCTGTAATTCGCTCGACAGGCTACAAAAGCTTCCGTTTAATCACGAGTCTCGATCTGGGAACGTTTGCTCAGGTTGACCGATGTTTGTAGGACGCCGTGTATACACATGTAACACAAGCCTAAAGCCAGCCCCCGAAATCAATACTCGGCATTACACTGTTACTAAGGATTCCCATCCCCCATCGTCAGATTCACCCCCGTGCCAGCCACAGCCAGAGGGGTTCAATGGCCAAAATACAGGCCTCGTTGCGTTACACTTTGAAATAGACCGCCACCCTCCTGCCTTCGATTGTCTCACTCTCACTCTTTTTTTTTATTTTTTATTTTGTATTCAGAGCTTTCAGAACAGAGTCGACTCGATTGCACGGAAAACGATGAAAGCGTATTGCTTTATCTGAACGGAAACGGTGCAGCTTTTAAAAAAAGCGTTTCGTTGTTTTCCCACTCAGTGAGTGGGTTGGTAAGATGAACAATCGAATACAATGAAGCTACGAGATTTTTTTCTGTTTTTTCGTGCGGAACGAGAATGGAATGCAAAATGGAATTTTTGCGATGAGATTCACCCCTTCGTTTTCCACGAGATGAAAGCTATCGGGGAAAGGGTGAGTTGCGTGTTTGAATCTCGTTGCTCTTGCAATTTTTGTTGTTACTGGAGTATTATGAATTTATGGTGTGTGTTTGTGAAAGGGTATTGGTTTTATAATAAAAATTATTGGAGTTAGGCAGAGTTCAAAAATGTGGGACGGTCTCCCATCATTCTGAGATTCTAAGATTCTAATATTTTAAGATTCTAAGATTCT